TCAACATGGATGAGGATGAGGCAGTGTCTAGTGGAAGCACTTGTAAAAAACTGCGGACATATTTTAAGTTTCCATAGCCATGTCTTTACTATTTGAGAACCATTTTTTCCCCAGTGCATTGGCACTCTGCTACTGGGCCTAGTCCAAGGACTGGCACTTCAAATTCAACTTCAGATGCAACTGCTACTGTGCGCGAAACTGTCAAAAAGCGAGGGAACTACTGATGCTGGTCGCCCTGGCCCGAAACTGAACTCCATGTGGGCTTGATTTAGTGCCACGTTCTCTGACTGCTGATGCGGCCTGCTGAGGATGTGGACACCAAAAAAAATAAAAACAAAAACAAGAGGCGGATGAGGATGAGGAGGATATGACCAGCAGCGTTGAGTTATGACTTGGCCTCGGTGACTTTGCTCTTGACTTGGACAACCTTAGAGGGCAGCTGGCGGACCTTGATCCGAGTGGAATTTTTCAGCCCAGTATTTTGTGGGTCAATAACTATTCGAGTGGCTGACACTTGGAGTTAATTCCCACAGATTGCGGCCTTTCATAACTATCATGGTAAATACCTGTAATCTTCCCTTTTAGCCGCTCTGGTTACCTCAGGTTTTTTGCTAATTAACGGGGCTCTTATCAATTTTGAAAAGGCTCTTCAGTTAGAGCTCTTTAGTTTGGAGTGGTTTCTAATTAGACAGTGGTTATTGAGTTTATGGTAAGTTTTTGATAGTCTATTAATACTTAAAATAAGATTTAAATATAAGGAATCATAAATAATCCAACTAAGAACTATTTTTGAAGATAATCTTAGACTTAATCCTATTATTTGTAATGAATTAGTTTGTCTATGTTAGGTTTTATTTATTGTCTTTAACTCAGAATTTGTTATACAACCTCAATGATTAGTACTATCTGATTCTTCAAGTTCCTGAATGCTTTAAAGAATTTTTTTGCTAATAAGGCTTAAAAAATGTTTTATAATAACACGTGCAGTCGGCAGTTACCTCGGAATTTAGCTAATTGAGTTTAGACTTATCACTCCAAGAGGATGGCGCAATGTGAAAAATGTTAGAAAGGCGCTTATCGGGTAAACAGCGAAAACACTTGAGACCTCCCATATAAAGTGGAGCGAATGGTCGAGGAAGAGTCACAAATCAATCCAAGTTCAATATGGGTGCATCAACCAAGTTTTTCCTAGTCTGCCTAGTGGGTCTGGCTTTCTGCCTGCCCCTAATCCTGGCAGCCCATCCCAGTTCCCACCAGGAAGCCGCAGAGGACATGTCCCGGTTCATGAGCATCCTGCGGCAGGAGGAGCATCCCGCTGGCTCCCCCCGATTCAACGATGTTCTGGGCAATGCCAGGACCATAATCAACTACCAGGCCAGAGGATTCAACGGATCTCGTAATATTTTCCAGTGGATGACCAGCCCGAACGACCGCAATGACGGAGTCTACAATTTCCTGCAATTCTACGCCGACGAGTCCAATGGCTACATGGGTATCCAGAACTACGAAAAGAGCTCCAAGTTCACGGTCTTGTTCTCCGTTTGGGATGCCGATAGTGCCGTCGCAGGTGATGGTTTTGAGTGCAGCACCTTTGGCGGCGAGGGCATCGGCTACAAGTGCTTCAATGGCACTTTCCCACTGATCAGCAACGCCATTTATTTTCTGGATGTGGAAATCGAAGGATCTGTTTTCAGGGGTTACATCTCTGATCCGCAGGAGGATCTCTCCCACGCCACCGACTACGATTTGGAAAGACATCTGATTGGAGAGATCACCACACCCCACGAAGCGCTGCACAACCTCATACCCTTCGGCTACTACAACGAGAACTACCGCGACAAGGACACCTGCAGGGAGGCCTTCGAATTGGTGACCGTCAACCAGGCTCCCCATCAGTATGCTGACGACGGCCATGCCGGCACAACCTTCGAAAAGACTTACTTGTACAACTCCATTTGTGAGTCTTGGAATATCCTGACCGCCATCACGGAGGACAAAAAGACCAGCATCTACTTCACCAGGCCAACTGCTTTGGATTTGTATAACTAACCCCGAAACTATTCTTAATATTGGTTTAAAATTACATATATTCGATGTTAATACAACAAAATAATGTGAATAATAAATAGCTTTTGCAGTAGCCTCTTAAAAGAATATTTTTATCTGATCATCCACCAGAAACCCATATGCAAATAGAACAAAAGTAGTCCCTTAAAAAATATATCTCTTTATCTTATCAAGTTCATCTTTATCCCCAACCCGGGAGCTATTTTACTTGTTCTTCACCTAAATGTGCAGGAAACTTATCTTGAAAACACTTTGCGGGCAGCTCCTTTTTGTTAGTCCCATTTTTGCTCATTAAGCCTGTGGTCCTCCAGACCTCAGGTCCTCTGGACATGCGTTTCCAGTAGCTTGTCCTACGCAGTCGGGCTTTAACTTTTTATTGTCTGTGAGGGCAGGCAGTTGGAACCTAAACAACAAACCTAAACAAAAAAATCAAAATAAAAAAGTTGCCAGAGAGCGAGGAGTGAAAAAAATAAATGAACTGTCCCATTGTCTTGGGGGACTAGGGCTCCAGCAGAGCCAGCCGAGCATCTATAGCTTCTCCGTTCGGCTCAGTCCGGGGAGCTCCTGGTGATGGTGGGTGATAAAGTTGCGAGGCGAGCGGCGGCACAGGCCCAGACTCCATTGAAATTAGTTATTCACGCGGATCGTTTAAGGCAATCCAACACCAGAAGGTAGCAACTTGGTAGCTGCTGGCTGCTCCAATGTTGTGTTTATTTTGGATACCCTGTTGGTTTATATAGAACGAAGGTATAATGAGTTTAAGACAATAAAAATAATGGTATAAACTTAATTACCGATAATTAGGTTACTAATGGATTTAATAAGAACTTGAACATCTGTATAATATTGAAAGGTTTAATGTTAGTTAATGTTTGAAAAATAATCCTTAAATTTCAATCTTCCCTGTACCTAAGTAACCTCAAGTCGAATCAATTACCCTCAAATACAACCCCTTTTTTGTTGGCCATTGCTCTTGGTCATGGCTTGTCAGTGATGGCTCCTCGGCTGCCGCTTTTGTTTTAATGATCGTGCCCGGGATGCTCATTTACCGCTGCAGTTCGCTTCGCCAAGTTAAAACTGCAGAAACTGCAAACGGGATGACTCTTTGGCTTTGTGCCTCTTATCAGTGCAACATTTTGCATGTTGGCCAGGAAAGCGCAGTGGCAGTCACTTCCCCTTAAGCCACCTTCCTCGCTGGCAAGCTCAGGCATTTGTCACAGTCCTCCCCCGGCCAATACAACAACAACAAAAAATCTGGCCAAGATACAGCAAACACACACAAACTAGCTTACATACTTAACATGTGTCTTTTTATGTATGCTTTTAGCCAGTTTTATCGCCGGCTTTTGGCTACTGCGGCGCTCCAGAGTTTTTGAAACTCGGCTCCTCTAATGGCTCATTTCCTCGAGCGGCCAACAACAACGGTAATTAACCTGTGCATGTTAATGAACTTCAAACTGCATACTCCTACTGCCAGACACTGAAAGAAATTGAGGGGTTAAATAGAATCATCATAGTTTTTCAATGAAACTTTTACATAACTTAATAGATTAGGCTTGAAAAATATACCCATAATTTGTAGAGGGTTGCTATCTCTGCAAGTCCCTCTTCTTAAAACCCATTCTATACCCCATTTTTTTCTCAGTGACTCTGGCTAAAACCAACTGTCCAAAGTTTATGCAGATTTTTGTCTTCTCTCCTCACGTTGGCGCTAATGCAAATGTGAAAAGGCATTTTGTGAGCCAAAATGAGGTTGTTGTCGTGCCGCTGACAATCTAATTAGAATACAAAATGCTTTTAGAGGCCCAACTGCAGCATCAGTTTCTGCTCCTTAGCCTTTTCTGTTGTTGGTCTTGTGGCCAAGTCAAGTCCGTGGGTTTCAAGTTCATGTGTTGACATATGTAGCCATGGCAGTAGTTTGGTAACCCCATCCTCTCCTAAGCACTTTGTTGAATAACATTTTGACAGCAATTTGGTTTGAATTTGATTTCACCGACCAGGACATTATTGCGATGAGATGGTGAGTCGCGAAAGTCAGTCAATTGATGGCTTAAACTAAGATGCAACAATCGATAAACTTTGGGCCAAATTTGGCAACATCAAGGTGCATTTATAATGAGTGGAAAGTTGGATATTGACAGGTCAAGTAATACTGTAGATTATCTGGAGATTTTATGATAATTTAATTCAGTTGGGAATTAAAAGAAGCCATTACATCGCCCTTAAAAAAAACCAAACTTACTTGGCTTATTTGATTTCAATTGTTATACGTTTAAAAATTTGCAAATGAGGAATCCAAACATTACACATAGAATTTTGATTCCAAATATGGAGGTGTGTAAAAGTGTGTATAGCAATGAAGAATTGATATTGAAAATAGCTTAAATCATAAGCCTATTTAGAATTCTTGAAAAAACCTATTTTAGGTCTAACAACAAAATTATACTAATTCGCAAATGATTATTTTCTCATGTTGATTCTTGGCACGCGTCCGCGTGGCTTCACTAGCAATGGAATCCGGGAAACTCCTTCATTTCTATTAAATGTCTCTTGTAAAATCTCTTCATCAGTAACTTCTACATATTCTTGTGTTTCTGGAATGGCATTCTTGAATGTCATATCGGGTAGTTTCGATAGACCCTTGGGTTTTGCAAGTCCTCCGTGTCCCTGAACTGATTCTTCACTCGTCAAGGATGAATCACTTTCTAGCTGTAAGGAGCTTCGTCTTTTAAAAATTGCACTTTCGAAAGATGCGGCTTTTCGCAGAGGTTTTGAATTCTCAGTTTCCATATCACTCGCACCGATATTAGCTCTATAGTAATCGTCCTCAGATTGAGCTCTTGAAGTTTTGGATGATTTCTTACGACGCCCAACAATGTTATCGTTTATAGCGACATTACGATGATCAGTTTGGCCCTCAGCTCGAGCGTTTAGAGATTTAGAATTTTCTGGAGCGACCTCGGCTCTTGAATTTGACCTCGACCTCTTGGCACTGACATCAATGTTATCGTTCATATCGATATTAACATCATCATGTTTGGACTCAGGCTGAGAGCTCAGTTTAATTTTTTTGACATTTCTCAACGTCATCGTTTACGTCAACGTCAGCCTTCTTGCGTTTCGATTTATTTGTGCAAGCTTCAGGGTTTGAAAAAAGAACTTCAACTTCATCGTTGATAATACCAACATCGTTCGTATTTTCGAGCTTGGTGTAAGTGCGAGATCTCGGAATATTTTCTTTATTGCCTTCGATTTTATTTGTATAACTATCGGATTCCGCCTTAGATTCTTGTTTGTTAGCCTTACAAGGAGTGTCCCTTAGTATTTTCCGCAAAAACATTTCAGCAATAACCTTTTTAAATTCTTTCTCCTCCTCCTCCTTTATTTGCAAATTTCTTTTCCGCAAAGCCTTCTCTTCCTATGGAAAATGTGTTAAATTTGTTATTTCCCAGGAACTCCCTCTAATGGAACCCTTTACTCACTTTATATTGACGCCATTTACGATAAGCCGCAGTAATACAAGTCACAGTCACACAAAGTAAACCCACAGCTAGTGCAGTGAATAGTGTGATCATGTATACCAAAAGTATGATGCCTCCATCAGCGATTTTACAGTTCAACCCAATCATATCCATAATAGATTGAACATTCTCTGCGCAAAATTCGCAGATATTGTTTCCTTTGCATGGTCCCGGAGTAGGTTCCGGGGCAAAGTATTGCCTGATGCGTTCATATAAATTAAACATGAATATGATTTATGATTGATTTTTGTGACAGAAGAGAGGAATACACGAAACGGATTCGAATAGTAGAATGAATTGAAGTCTATGTATTCCAATTGAATGGGAACTATACGTCTACTTTGATTAGGAATCAAAAATACACAGGTTGCTGTGTTATGAAGTAAATTATTAGTTCGTTTTAAAAAGGGCTCTTAAAAGACAAAACAGCTCCGTTTTGTATGGATTGTTGTATGTAACAAAGCTGGAGTCCACCTTGTACAAGATATTTCAACTTTGAACTTCTTCAATCGATTCGATATGCCCACTCATGCCTCCCCGAGTGATTTCTTTACCAGGAACTGACAAAGTTATACATATGAAGGAGGAATGGGGGCTTTGAGGGAATCACAGCACGTGCACACATATAGACATATCTGGCTAATTAAGCAGACTTCAAATGAAAGTCAACAAAAGAAGAGATTCGATCGTGGGCCAAGCGACACCACCTGGAGCTGGAACGGAATGAAAAAGCTAGATCTGGAGGTGGATCTGGAGCTGAAGCTGGAGATGGAGAGCACCCACTGAGATGGGAGTAGTGCGGAGCAACCATGGCACGCGATAATCAATCAAAAGCCATTTCAGTGAGCCAGCCAAGACAAAGACAATCAGTCCGAAGTAGAAAGCATTTCGCTGGAAAGAAATGGAAAAAAATATAAAACCCAAGGCGGTAGAAAATAGACAACGGGCGGGGTGTGGCAAAATATGCGTCAAGACAAGTTAAAGATCAAAATCAAGATCAAATAGAGCACGAGCTTGGCATCGGTGGTAAAAAAAGAATAAAAATAAAAACAGTTGCACTGGATGATTGACAGAATTAGAATAGGAAATCGTGAGCGGAGTGGGGAGACACTACTTCTATACGATTACGATTATTATTAAATGACCCAGTTGTGGCTAAACGGCTTTTTGTTTGCTGGTCCAATGAAAAGTGAAAGCAACTCTGAAGAATGTCGCCTGTCTGGTGCTCCAGGCTTTCAGCTCTCCGGCCTCCCTCTTTCTGTCTCCTTCGATCCACTATTGGCCAAATGTCGCTCAGAGTTGGCAAATGCAAATTAAACTCCACCACATCGACTTCCCAGTGCAACTTTCTAAATGAAATTCCGATCACATACGTCCTCCATCCCACTCCTCCCTCCCAGTTCTCTATCCTAATTTTTTGTATTTCCATTTTCTTGTTACACTCATGTGTGCGCAAAATTAAGGAAATAATTTGGAGTAAAAATATACTAGCTGATTGTCACCTGGCAGGCAATGGGAAAAGTAGAGCCAAAGGCTGTGAGGCTCTGACTAAATCAAAGCCTTGACATCGAACTCCTTTCTAAAGTGTCAAAGCTAACGTAAATTTTGGTGAAAATGCACTTGAATTAAGGTTTATACATATTCAAATTTATAAATAACTATAACTCATTAACTTTAAAAACTACCAAATATTGTTTAACAGTAGGATTAACTTCTTTGTGTTGTATGAAAGCTATGGCTTTCTTAATAACTCTATAGCTTAGTATAACCAATTGCTTTTAGTGTATAATTTATCTACCAGTTCCCTTGTAAAATTGCCCCTCCCAGTAAGCTCAATTAGAGACGCATTCGCAAATTGCCTTGCACTTTTATTGTCACCAATGGGGAGACGCGTCTGTGGATTGTGGATTTGAGTGCGGTGGCATTTTGTCGCGACGCCTGTCTGGGACCCATCATCAGTCACCAGTGGACATCCGAGTGCCAGGTAATTGCCCCTGACATGCCGAGCCCACAGCCCACCAGACCACTTGTAGGCATTTTGTTTGACTTGGATTATCGGTAAGTGCATGGGTTTAACATTCCGCGGATGTCCAACTAAACGGCGGATTACGCGGGACCACTTGTTTGGATCACTTCTGACCTTGCATTACAAGGGATTAGCGGTTAGCAGGATGGAGCTGAAATTTGTCAGCTTCAGTTCATTGCAATGCCAATTGCAGGCCTCTGCAGTAAGGTTTTAGATTGAAATAAATGCAAACCAGTCCCCTAACTCATTCTAACCTTTCGCCAAAATTATAAATAATGCTTCGTGCTCTCCTTTTTCGCGGTATAGGCACAGGCACAGTTTAAGGCCATTTGGCCAATTTATCCAATCCATTCACACTCATAATCCCCGACCGTATACGGAGACCATCCAATGCCCGCATCCCATGCCAAGTGCCCATTAAGCCGCATATATAAATCACCATTAATTTGACAGTAGATTTTTACATAACTCAGGCCAACAGGTGAAAGCGAAAAGCGCACAGCTGCCCCAGGAGAGAGATCATGGAGTGTCATGGAAAACTCGCCACTTGCACTCGTAAAAATTTACTTCGGATCGACCTCCCCATATCCCCACATACTTCTGCCCATAGAGGTTGGCATGCAAAATCGAATTGTGTGCTAATATTTGGCCAAAATGCAAAGAGCCGGCGGTTATCGCCGAAACCACGAACATGACGAAGTGACTCCAGATGGGGAAGTTTTCAATGTTGCCGCTTGGCCCCGGTAACGGTCATAATAACAATCATTTGATTTCCTTCGAGCCAAAAAAATAGCCAAACGTTAATCGAGGGGGTCTAAAACGAGGGGGAATAGTTGCGGGTGATCGACATGTAATGTCAGCCAAATCAGTAAAAGTTTTGGTCATCACTGAAAGAAATAATAGAACTCAGTTTTATTTCCAACACATCCAAAAGTAAAAATAGTATTTTTTCTAAAAAGAAATGAAAGCCAATCTGGCGAAGAACCAGCTGAGGTTGAGACATAATTGAGATTGCACCTGGTTAACCTTTCCAGGGAGATGCCACAATAGAAAGCTCACACATGACAACCGCCAGTCGCACTTCGATTAATAGCTCTTTGGCGGGAAAAGTGTGTGGCTTGATAGAAACATGGCTTTTGTTTTAGCATAGCATAGTTTGGCCCTATCCGCGTAGACAAGATGTCCCAGCTAAAAGCTTTTCCGAAAACCTCGAAAATCTTTCAGATTCCGAGACCCGATCCACGGTCTTTTGGGTCGCCGCAGCACATGACAGGCACAATTTCTCAATAAAGAAAATCTCTCACTTTCACTGACGACGCACATTCTTGGATTGTTTGGCTGCGTTCCGAGATCGCTTCAGGTATTCCGCCGCTGCGTAGTCCTTTGACCTATTTTCCGGAGTAAATTCTGGCCGCCGTTGGCCCAAGCTTAAACGCAGGGATGTCCTTAAATTCTTCATCGGATTTAGATGCAAAGAAGTCTCTGACTTTGGAACTAGAAGCATATTTACCAAGTGCTCTTGCATGCCGCAGTAATGATCCCTGCTGTGATTGCGTACCTCGAGATTCTCTATGGGTAAGGGGAGATCATCACCTTGCATATTCCCATCAGAGATCCGCTCCTTTGGGGTATTGTTAACGGAGGTGAACACCTCCCTGACTGGCTGGCTGTTTTCATCCATTCGAAGTCTTTCCTGGTCATCTAAAATGGGTATCCAGGACTCTAAGCTATTAATGCCCTCTGTAATCTGGTCGATCTGATCCTTGAGTTTGGCCATCTCCTGGCTGGTAATGCTCTCCTGGCTGGATGTTAAACGCACAGTCGTTTTACTAGCCTTTGGCTTGGGATCCGGAGGGCTGGGGGCTGGTTGTTGTGCTGGAGGTGTCACTGTTTCTTTTGGTGGGGGCTTCCTTTTCGGTTGAATGGCGAACATGAGGCGCAACTTTTGTTTCAATCGATCAAATGATTTCTTTGGATCCAAATCCTCTCTTTCGCTTACATCACTTGCCGGACTTTTTATGGAACTGGAACTGGTAGGCGAAAGTTCTCTAATATCACGAACTTCTCCATTTTCCAACAAGATCTCTTCATTCGCCATTAATGTTCCGGCTTCCTTGCAATCCCCTGCACCCTTTAAGTACTGACACTCTTTCTTGGGAAACATTTAAACAGCTTCTCTGGTACAAACCCTCTAATTTTGAGCCAAAAAAATATAAAATAATTTAATAAATACTATATAGAAATTTTGATTTTATTTTTTGAGAAGAACTACTTTGATAATATGTTTAGGAACTTGGTGAGAGAGGGGCTTGGTATCTTGGGGACAAGATATACAATAATTAATATTTATATTGCAGGCCCACTGATTTTACTTTGGTGTATCTATTTCTCCCTTTATAATGCACCTTTTATGCCTAATTTATGGGTTAGTTGAACCATTATTACCATATGTTGAAAATAGATATTCAAAAGCATCTAAAAAACTTTGAAACACACTTCACAAACTTACCCTTTAGATTATTAAAAAAAACAGGAATGTTGCCATTTCTACTTTCCTAATCCATTTTAAATTAACGCGATGTTCTACCCAAGACATCGAAGCTAGGGATTCAAACAGGAGAAAGGATGCCCATTATAAAAAAGTGCCTTTACTGCATTGAGCTTCGTATAGCCACTCTTATAGTGGGATATTTTGGAATCTTAACCGAAGTAATTGATATTTTTGTATTGATAAACTACGGATTTACGAGATGCCAATATATCTTAACCCTTTGGACTTTCGCCAGCATTTGGAATATGAGTTCTGAACTCTTTCTACTTGTCGCGGTCTATCGAGTAAGCTTTTGTGCTTAAATTTTAGATCATTTTCAATAGTTGCCATTTTAATCGTAGAACAATCCAAATCTTTTGCCAGTACATTTAGTAACCTGCCTGGGAGGTCTTATTATGAAGATGATCGATCATATGTTGGTGGCCTCAAGTGGGATTTTTCACTACGGTTTGGTGACTTATTCACTTTTCTCGATAGGATGTGAGTAATTCGTCGATTTACATATTTTTTAATTATTCCTTTTCCCTATAGTTATGTTTGCAGATGTTTTAATCGTGCTGAGCTTCTATCACTCGGAAGTATAGGGCAGTCGTGGTTTGGCAAAGTTTATACTATATAATTGTAATTGCTGATAATTTTATTTCAAAAACTAAACATGCTTTGCCAATTATTTCATCACTATTTAAAATTTTTTGTAAAATACACTATCACCCCTATTATAATAAATTTAACCATATCCTTCGCATAGCATCTTTAACTTTAATGGGTTTTCATTAAAACTATATTATGTTTCTGGAAGTCGAACTTGGGTCTGATCCTTGCCCAATAACTAAATGAATACACTAATCGATAATGCCCTTCTTAAAGAAGTTTCTTTGCTTTAGCTTGCGTGACGGATGCCTTTATTTGTGCTATGCGAATCTCTTAACACAACTCGTTGATGTACTATGGATTGTTTATACAAACTACGATTTCTGCCAACGCATTTATGTCATTTGGTTTTTCTCCACCTTATGGCATGTCATTTCCGAACTAATACTGATGTATGCCATATTCGGGGTAATGCAGACAATTCATTATTTTCACATAATTAAACTATGTTTATTACTATAGCAAAATTCTCACTTGATGCCGCTCCATTTGGTGACCAACTTGCTTGGTTTGATTCTCCAAATGATCAACCACATGATGATTGCAGCTGTGGCCCATAAGAAATACGTATGGATTGGCTATTCCCTTTATGAAATAACCCGTAAGAGTTCTATAAGTAATGGAAATATTTATAACTAGCATGTCGTTTTCTTAAAATCATAGTAGCTACTGTGGCCGTTTTGGTAGATTTAAGCTACTACCATTTGGAAAAATAGTGTACCACTAACCCAGTCGGACAATCACGCAGCAGGGTGTCTGATTAAGAGGTGCAAAATTCAAAATTTATTAGGAAAATGTTGCACAATGCGGTCCGGGCATAAATCGTGGCCAATTGTCACCAATTGGCGATTTGCAACCGAACTCCGGCGACCTGGGTTTAATTATCGCTCCACAGCTCCAGCGCCCGGTGCGCTATACATGCGTGCTAATTGACCAGGCTTTAAGTCCAGACTGCAAAACTAAATCCGAATCCGAATCCAAATCCCTGGGTCCAGTCCAAATGTCCAAATGATAACCACGACGATGAAAACGCATGCTGAGCCAAATGAAAATTATGTTGCAATCGGCGAGCGTGCTGCCCGCTGGCTGGTCACTGAACCAAGATACTTTGCACCATCGAGACCAACTGCGTCCACAGGCCTTAATTAATTTCCTTGATTAATTGAAAGTGTGCTTGCTCGGCTTTCGACTTGTCTTACTTTATTTTGTTTGTGTATTTTTTGGGTCTTTTATTTCATTTACTTTTTGGCAAAAGTACTTTTTGCCAGAGCAAAGTTGAAGGCAATAAGAAAAATTGTCTCGTATTCGATTCGGTAGTATATGATGGGCGTTGCCCTGGGCCAACCCTTGGCCATTACTCTTGGTCCGATTCCGAATCCCGAATCCGTTCCTTTCCATCCCAGCCATATATATTCGATTAAGGTCGAAAAAATACGATCCCTGCTGGGCGGGATGGTGTAATTAAAGCGGCAGTCGGTGTATTTGCTAATGAAATTATTGAATATTTCATTGAATTATTTGATATTCTCTTTATACCATATATCAAAGACTAATCTTTGACCTTGTCAAACCATTGAGAATAAATTCTATACGATAAAGTCTCAATTCCAAATGCAACATAACATCAATCAAAGCAACTCAAAGCCAAACAATAGAACTTGCCAAGTCCATATGAAACTACAATTCACCGAATATTCACTGATTTCATAAAATATTACGATAAATGCCGTTTTCAACGTATATAAGCCATAAAGGATTTTCATATTTTATTGCTCATAACTGCAAAATGCGACATTAAATGCTTCCCTGCTTAAGGAAACAAAATGCAATCGCAAGTATAAGTATTGCCAAAACTCACTAAAGGGAAACCAGAAATAAGAAAAATGAATTGTCTTCATTTTGTAATTTAATGGTATTTTATTGAATTTTTGATGGGCATGGACAAGGCGGATCGGTGCAGTTACTGCCCCATCCTTGGCTTGTGGCCCGGCAGCGTTTCAGTGATTCCCATTCCTGTTTCCATTGCCAATACCAATTCCCAACCGATTCCATCCGATCGGATTGGATTCAATTCGATGGGATCTCTCCGTTCTGTCCACCTCCTCCATCCTGTTGACATTTAAAATATGGCCGCGTGTCAATGCGGCTGCCCTACGCCCATTTTTATGCTTGCCCCCGAAAGTCAGGTTTACATTTCGATTTCGGTTTCGATTTTTAATTCGCCACTCTGCCCGAAATCCCAGCGTAAATTCAATTTGAAGGTCTGAAGGCCTCACTGCGTCAGTGCCAGTGCCCAGAAAAATGTGCTTTCACTTGACCCGCAATGCTGCGTAAATAAATTTTATCGCACCGCTGACACGTGCGCGTAATATTTCATTAAATTTAAACTAAAAATACAAAAAAAATAAATGAAAATCACAAGACCCAAGGAAATGAAAAGTATGCGATGTAAACCAAGTAAAAAATAAAAATAAATATAATTGCGTTCGGTTCAAAACGGCAGCATAAACAAATCCGCGATTGCATCGTAACTTCGTTTTCAATTTGGCAAGTTTGACAATCGGCCAGTTAGTGAATGTCCCCCCCGTTTGGCACATTCCACTTTCGGCCAAGAGTGTGCCACCTACGTTGGCCAACTTTAGTCCGTCCGCTTAGCTCCCGGAGGGGGCTACCTGTCGCACCAATTGCCGCCTGCCATTCACTTGCCGGCAGTGCGTGCCGCCACAGCTCCCGATGCAGTTGCTCTTGATTGCAAATGCCAATTGTTGCCTACTCTGAGCCAACAATATGCCAATGTTTATGGCGGTTCATAATTTGTTTTCCATCCATGTGGCACGACAAATTAAATGAACTTGAGCAGTAGGCATAGTCAAAGCTAATTATCGAACTATATAGTCCAGGAATATTACTTTCAAGCTACTTGAAACGTTTATTAAAACAATTACTGAGAAAGGTAGATAATAAATAACCAATTACATAAAAATGGAAATAGGTGTACTATGTGCACTTTGCCCTCCCATCAAGAAACAGTGCAACTTTGCGATGTTTAGTATCGTTTTTAAAATTAGTTGCTGCTCGTAAATAAAAAAAGAGGAATTAACAAAAACCACACCGTGGTGTCTGGTGCAGATATGACTGCCCAAACGCCTACAAAGACGCGGCAAGTCCCTAGAATGATCTACGCCTATTGTGAATAATTTTTTAAGACTGCCAAGAACCCCATAAACATATGGCCATTATGCTGAACGCTTCGGCTAATGGCCCGCCTGCCACTAAGTCGGCTGGGATGAGAAATAGGTCTGAGCTCATAAAATTCAACCGACTGTGGGACTGCTTCCTCCGAAGAGCTTCCTTCTTGCGGTGCTTAGTGATGTCTTAGATGTAAAGTACAAGTGCTGCTCCCTCTGGTCATTAGGCGAGGTTTTCTGGATGGCGGCACGCACCCGGCGGAGTCGGGTCATTTGTGGCGACGAATGGGGCGTCACTTAAGCCGTTGCTAATTTCCATAGTACACATTTAGATGGCGTTGAACAGGTTCAGAATGTAAGCCAGGTTTAAGGAATCTGCAACCACACAGTTGTGGTAAAAATGCAAAAAATGACTAAGATAGGGAATTAGCACTACAAAAACTATCCACTACGGATAACACAAGGGATCTCATCCATCCAAGTCCTATGAATATCACTTCAAAATATAGAAAATGAGTATTTCCCAATCAAATGAGAGGCAAAATCCAATTTAAGATCACCTCCAGTTGACACCTCCACTTGCTGGTCTTGGCTCTGGCGATTTAATGGCTCTGCAATTGGCCTGACCCGTCTCGAACGTCTACTAGGTGATCGTGGAGGATTCTGGGGATGGCGGTTAGCGAATCATGGAACAGACCATTCTGCTTTTGTCGCTGTTCCCGGCAACATGAGTATGATTTATTGAAGTTTGTGCGGCTGGAGGAGCTTCTGCCCGCAGATCGTGATGACTTTGCTTCGTTAGCCGCGATCCTAGTAAGTTGGGTGATTTTTCCTGCCCTTTCAGTGGGTATATAGGTCTTAAAATAATTTTACCTAGAAAGTTGGAAGCCCAATTCGGAAATTAAGCTTAATATTTAGATTCAAAACTCCTTAAGTTCTAGAATCATTCTAGAATGATAAAAAATATCAAATTCAAAAAGCTCAAAGACTTTTAAATCTTTCTTAATTTAAAAATTATAGTTTTTACTTCGATTCTAGAGCATTCAAAGTCCTGGCATCTTCTATTTTGAACTTTTAATACGTTGATCCTGCACTTGGCCATGCTTATGTGTATCATTTTTCTTGGCCAGCGGCTGGAAATATGCATTATTGTATTTTTATATTATTTGTGCTTAATTTGCAGGCTTGAAGAGCTTGGAAGAGCTGGACTCGGACTGGTTGTGGGAGCCATGCACCTGATTTCCAAAGTGTTGTGACTTTTGTGGCCGCCGGACAAGTCCGTTGATTTGCGGCAGGCAAATGACCATCTACTCCTCCAGTTTTGTGGTGCAGGAGCTCTTGGGCTATTAGCTTGGTGGTGCTCCTCCTCCTCCGTCCGCTCGTTCACCTCCTCCTTGGGTCAGTCCTTTTGTCAGATCCTCCGACTCCAGCTAGAGAACGAGATTTATGTTAGTTCGGTGTCATTTTAAGTTAATGGGTTATACTCCCCAACCAGTTTATTTTTGCATTATAGATGAGCATCTTATGTGCGTCGTGTCTGCCACTTTGTCCCGTTTTTTTAGCACATTCTTCCCCAGGAGCTTGCAGGTGAATTCGAGTTTGAATTTATGACTTTGGCTTTTAAATTGGTTTATTGCGATTTCCGTGGCACCCACACACTCTCAGACATATATTCATTTATTATTAACTGTATAAAAGCAATGCAAACAGTTATTTAGTTAGTTTAAACCACTTTATCAATAAATTTTATAAAACTTGTTAGCTTTTATAACTTTATGCAGCTGGCAGCCCTATTCAGTCGGTGCCATCGATCTGGCAGGCCTGACATCTATTTCCGGTTGTTATCGGAACATTTTTATAGGCGATCTGAAAGAATAATTTAATATATTCTTTAACCAAATAACTAATTAACTCCTAACTGTTTTACCAAGAACGCTTTCTGTTCTTTTTTTAATAAGCATCTCACTGATCGATTCATTTTTATGATCTGGCAAGGACAAAGCTCCAACATGGCGACCAGTGTTGCACAGTGTTGTTTGTCATTTGACTTCACGTGCTTATTTCATTTACCTGTTTAGCTTCGTGTTTCTGGATCGAAATTCAGAATTAATTGTGAGTTGTATGAAAATCCTGTGTACACGATGAAGCGCCACAATGCCAAGATCACGGAGAAGGAGAAGTCACCAAGTCCGTCGACGTACTCGCCACCCTTGGGCCTATTCAACACGTCCTCCCCGGAAACATCGGCAACCTGCAGCGGTCCCGTTTTATACGTGGATGTGGTGAAGAATATGCCCAAACTGGAGATACCACATCCTCCGCCGCCGCCGCCACCGTCACCGCCGGAATTTAGCATTTTTCGTGAGGACTTTCCGGCGCTGCCAGGCACCAGATTGCCCTCGAACTCGTCTTCGGCGGTTCCGGACGATTGGACGGCCATGTTGACCGATGATGAAGATGAAAACGTGGATGAGGAGGATGAAGATGATGAGGATGACGACGATGATGACGGTGAGGACGACGATGAGGAGGACGAGAGCGAGGGCTGCGAAGATGACGGCGATAGCTTTGAGGAGGGGATCGCGAGCGATGTCAGCCCAATGAATGCTACCATGGAAATGAACTTGGTGGAGGAGTCTAAAACCTCGGAAGTTTCGTCTAATGCCGTAACTAAGGCACAGCCCCCCATTGTCACCAATCAGGACATGGAGCTAATCCATAGGTACCTCGAAACTGCAGCTCGTTTTGATGTTAGCCTAATTTTTAGCCACCAGTTCTTGCAAGAAGGGGTCCGGCAGAGGGCAATTCATAGGGTCATGGCCAAAAGCGGCCTCAGTCCATTCCCAAATAACTTCATTAAACCACCACCGGGATTCGAGGGCGCCAAGCTGTATGCCCGCATGAAGACCAATCGCATGGGCATGCCCTTGGGTGGCGTTGACTTTGAGCTCGTTCCACCCGTGTTCGAGAAGCTTTGGAGGTCTAGGATGGAACCATCGCGAAATGCAGTTGAGGGAGCTTTCGGCATGCTGGGCCTGGCCAAGAATCTGGCATCTATGACACGAGATCCGCTTCTGATTCCAAAGATTCTGGAAAATGAGGCCAATCTCAATCTGGGCTGCTGTGCTGGAGGGTCCGGTAGCCTTCACGCCTCCTTCTCAGGTCCCTTCCTTCCAGGGCGTTGTGCTCCCCACGAACTGAACTTCGAAACGCCGATGAACTATCGTTTGGCGGGCAGGTTGGGCCTACAACAGCCAAAGACAGAGGAGATGGAGGTGGAGTTACTCTTCTTCTTCTTCTACACCTATCCGGGCGATATGATGCAACTGCTTTCGGCAGCAGAACTGGCGCAGAGAGGCTGGCGTTACCACAAATTCGAGCGTTTTTGGATCAAGCGGCAGCCCGATAATCCGAACTACACCTACCAAGGGTTCCAGGAGTCCGGGGAATACAACTACTTCAACATGTTTCAGTGGAAGATCCTTCCGCGCTACTTCAAGCTTGATCCCGAGCAGCTAGAGCGGACCATCGCCAAGGAGGAACTGTACGAGATATACGGCTATCATCCCCAAATGGGCGGCTACTAGAATCTTCCCAGTCGATCTCCTGTCGGAACCGTGATCTTCCTATTCGTCTCGTCGATGTCGAATTTTTTATACAACAAACAATTTTTAAATCAAAAGAAAAATTGAACAATCTTAGATCTCGCGTTCTTCTACTTTGTATAAAATAATTTGATAGAATTTTCTAGACGAGATGATAAGTCATTTTACAAGCATTTAAAAACCAACCAAAAATACGCACCAAATTATTGTATTCTTTATAAACATAAAGTAAAATAATTATTCTATTTTTTAAATGCATTTTAAAATGTCTTTTTTTAAACAATAATGCTTTACACAAACTTTTATAAATATTTAAATTATACTTAACGGAAAAATATATTTGATAAAAGATATTTTCATTTTTTTATTACAAAAAGGTTATAAGTATTTAATATAATCTAACTTGATCTACGATATTAGCTCACCTGACCACTCCATTTAGCTTTAAGCAACATTGTCACCTTGCAGTGGAAAATCGTAGCCACCACACCCTCGAAATGCCTTCGCACCACTCGCACCCCTCGCACCGCATAGCACCACTGGGCACCACCTTTGGCCAAGCCCCGATGAAGCCAAAATAGATACGAGGAAAATCGCAGCGCTCATTAGCAAAATGGAGCACCAGAGCAGACGGACAGCTGGACAGTTGGATAGTTGGTTTGGTGGCTCTGGTAGCTTGGTAAGTTTGGTCCGCCCAGGCACGATCTTTTTGGCCAAGTGTCGCCGGTGGAGTTGTCGTCGTTTAGGTCGCTAATTGCCACGTAAATTTGCAACCATTTTTGGCAGCTCATTAAATTTATTATTAAAACAAAAGCCGGTCCAAGTTAATTGCCATCAAATTGACATGCGAGCCGGCTGGATGGCTGAACGGATGGAGACGGACGACAACACCCGCCTGGAATGGCAGTTTTGGGACTCGGTTTTGGGGGAACTGCCAAAGCCCCCGGCTCATGCGTATTAATTGCCATGGAAACTTCATAATTTCATGTGGAAAAATGTGAACGTTAGGCGTGCTCAACTATAACAACAACAGCCACAAGAAGCAGAAACCAACAACCACAAGTACAGTGTGTAATTTAAGCGAGATAGACTTAAAAAATTGGAGTGGAACCTGGTGGTTATTCGGATCTGTCCACTTGGCGGCTTATTTATGGCACGGCGAAGTTTGATTGAAATGTGTTGTCTGTGAAATTGACAACTTGGGTGAGATTTGCACGGCTTACAGCTGGATCGGTCTCGGCTTTTGGATTCCGATTCGACTTGGATGCAGTTGGAAAAGGCACTTTAAGAAATACAAGAGTTCTTGTTTTTGACTTAAATCGAGTATACCTCTGTACTTAAAATATTTGCACTCATTATTCATACTTATTAAATCCTATATTCAATATATTGTTAAGAATTTCTTGCAGTGCTGATATTGGAGCCAATTAAGCATGAATCATGCCCCCAAAGTCTTGTGGCAAGGAGCGTTGTGCAACGAGCGCTCTGATTAATAAGCCGCCCGCACATGGCCAGGAGGAGTAGGAAGGAGTAGCTTTGGTGGATGTGAGACCCGGGAATTAACCCCGGACTACTACATATACCGGGGAGGGCCCCCGATAACCCCGGCACACGCATGTGCAACTGCAATTACCGTTAGCCATGCAAAATGCGAGACAGGTAGGGTGTCAACACGCTCGTAACTTGCAATCAACTTAAGATGACAGTGGAAATGAAGCATTGACGCCTCGCACGTACCACATGCAAAAAAAAAAAGGTGAATAAAAAAATCCTACATATATGAGCCAAGAAGGAAGCCGCCAAGGAAAGTCCACTTGGTGGAAACAGCATCCCATGGTCGGTCGTTCGCCCAGGTCTCCAGTGTCGTCCAATGGTGGGCAGGCTGAATAAAAATAAAAATAAAAATGAAAAGGTGCTGCAATCAGGTTTCTCCTTCTTTTCATCTTCAGAGGCGAGTGGGTACCAAATTAGACACATTTTATTATTAAAATCTACTTGTGTTGAAATAAAACACGACTTTCTGTGTCGCCCATAATGAAAATATATGGCAAGTTAATGCCAGAATTTATTTATCAGCCAAGAAGGCACTGTGGGAAAATGATTGTTGCTTTTAAGGTGTTTTTATCTTTTATTTTAGATACCATATATTTTAAATATAAAAACGTCATGTTGATGTTGTACCCAAGATAAATATTTATAAGTAACTTCTTAACCAACTCTATTACCACTGCAACTCCATCTGAGAGTTCTGAAATAAAACCCAACATCTTTTATGACGATTGCAACTCCAAAAGTTCAACTTGGCAACAGCATCTGGGATTTGACGTTGCAAGAGCCGAGATCAATGAACGCTGATCAAGGATTTTGTCATCGGGGGGGAGTGATCATTCATTCAAGTCACGTCGCCGTCTTTATGCATATATCAACAATCCGGCAAAGAACCTAGCCGATCGATGCTAATTGCCGCTGCCAGATGAGGCGTCTCTTCCTTTTTTGCCCAATGCTGTTGGTCGAATTTGTAATTTTAATTACCCCCGAGGGGGAGGCGAGCAGGAGAGGCCTCCACCACCCCGAAATTTGCATGCGAAGATCGCGTCAGGTATATTTTGGATTTCGGCTGGTATTTGCTTATTTATTGATCTTTATATCGCGCCTTTTTTTTCGGCGGCTGCCTGCCTGCCGGCCAGTACAAGGGTTCGTTGTCTCATTCATCAGAGCGTCTGACTGTCTGGCGACTCTCCGATGGGCATTATGCCATAGCTCTCGGGCCGTAGTTCCAGCCATAGCCCTGGCCGGGAGTTCAAAGACACAACGGTACATTCACCCTGGATCGGGGGAAGCGACAAGGCCACGCCAACGACACCACCACGCTCCACACCCACGTGTGTCCAGTGGCTTGGGGAGTCGTTGACCAGGCGGGTTGATTGAACTGAAGCTATATGGTGCACGGTGGAAAAAACTAGAGTAAGATATAGTTAGAGGGTTTAGCTTTAAGGACTATTATTAACAGGAATTATTTATTTTTCAATAAAACGTAGTCGTACTTTTGCTGAGAAGTAGGACAACAGGGCGTATACGTGATGAAAAATGTAATGTTGATTTTAATACTTTCCGCAATAAAAACTGCAATTAAAATAAATATAACATATTTGAATAACATTTAAAATTAGATCTTACTCCTTTTGAATATAATCAATTTTGTAAAAAAAATTAGAAAAGTATAAGAAAGCTTCAAAACTCTTTCCACAGTGTGGAAAACGGAAAAACATCTCTCGAAGAACTGTTGTTGCTGCCTGCCCCAACAAACGGCAAATTGCAGCAGTGAGAACTATGGAACTGATTTGCAATTCAGCAGTAGAACAATGGTCTCCAGCATCCAGCATCCGCATCGGTTACTGATCGCAGAACGCTGTGATCTGTGATCGCGCAGATCGTCTTCCCGTAACAATTTCCCTTCTGCTTTATGCAGTATGCACGGAGAATTAACGGATTTCGATCTGATTCAAACCGATACCGATTCGGATTCGGATTCAAAATCGGATTGGATTCACTCCCTCATAGCTCTGGCCAGTGGCCACTGAACTGCAGCTCTAAAGTCAAGAATCGAGCCGTACAGAAAAGCGAGCAACAAAAAATGTAGGTGGTATGCATTTTAATAAAGTGAAAGTGCAAGAACCACAAAACCGCCGTTCATTGTGCTACAATGGAGTGCACAGCCCCCCATATTGTCCGACCCCACTAGACCCCCGATTCATGTCCCATGTCGCTCATGTCTTTCAGTATTTTGGGCTGCATAATAAAATATCTACAAATATATTTCGGTTCGCCTATCTATATCTATATCTCCGGCACTCTTATCTAAGCATTTTGCATTTTTTCCTCCACACACGAAATTTGTCAAAACAAAATTTGATTTGAATTTGTCGTCGCAGTAATATTATGTAAGTTTAATTAGCATAAATGTGATTGATCTCTCAGTCGAGGCAAGTTTTCTGGTATTATTTGATTTTTATTGATCGTTTTTTATTTTTGTGAATGAAATGTAAAAAAATGCAATTGCATATTTGTCGTTTTTATTTAGTTTTTTGTTGCCTTCTGTTTTGGTTGTTATGAATACTGACTATAATTATTTTTGAAATCCCACTATCTAGAGACGAAAGTGGTACCCATTAGAATTGTGTAAGATATATGTATAATAATTTATAAGATTCATCCAAAGTCTATTCTATCCTTATCCTTGACTTTTCCGTAAATCCCTAACATTCTTTAGATCTAGAATATTCAAATTTCATCAAGATAAGATCATTTAGCTTAAGCATCTTAGCATAGTTCCTCATCCTTTCAAATCTATTTCCATGACTTCTTTTTCATTTGAACCATTTAAAAACTCCTTCATTGAAAAAGCTTTCCATTCAAAACTCTCACAATGAACACTCCATTGATCAGTGACAACTCCCCAGCCTGATGGGTATTGCCAATGCCCATAACTCCCAGAAAGACATCCATCTATTGTTTGAATTTCCATTCCATACGCCAGGCCATGTCATGCACATATTTAATAGCCATTCTGCATATGACAAAATATGCAATCCTCCCGGATAACCAAAAAAAAATCTTTGTTGCAGGTGAAATTTGCATGGTCATAATGAAATTTATACGAGGTCAGCAGAAGATGATCTTTCTGGGCAGATACGAGAGAAGAACAATAATTTTGTATTCCGCCAACTACACTTTATGCTAAATTAACAAATAATTTGATAGTTAAATTTTGATCTATGATCTGATTTTGTAATGAGGATTATTTTTTATTGTAACTGTAGAAAAATGTTTATATATTTTTGTTGGCAATATTTCAATAATAACGAATCGTCTTCGCAATAAACCTGTTTTGGAGTTATAGCCCCTCAAGAATTCTCATTGGAATCAATGTCAGCCTGGGGGCCAAGCTTCCCAAGCGCATATAAAAATTAATCAGGCAAAAAGCACCCTGCCGTAGAGATCGACAAATTAACGAAACGATCCCAAAAACGGCAGCAAAACAAGCAATAAAATTAAACTCAAGCCAGGTATAAAGGCACTGCAACAATGCCACAAGTTGCAAATGCGAATGGGGCAGCAAACAAATCTCCCCAGTGACAAAGCAAATGAGACCCACTGCGAATTGCACAGAAAATAAAATATTTAATAATAAAGATTAAAATTAAAAAGTGGATAATACTTTTGTTTCTATTTAAAGTTCTTTATAATGATATAT